GCAGGGAGCCCGATGCGAGGCTCGATCCCAGGACCCTGGGATCATGACCTTAGCCGAAGGCAGACGCTTAATGACTGAGCCACCCAGGCGCCCGTATTATCACTTTTTGAATTGCCCTAATCCCTTGGGGATATTTCTGCTTAACCCAAGAATGGTCGCTTGGAATCTGTGTTCACGATGAAATTGGTCTACAGTCTCCCTTTCTCACACTGTCCTCGACAGCTTTTGGTATAAAGGTTATGGTAGCCTTCCTACAAACCTGGGTGTTTGAATGAGGTGAAGCTGTTCTGGGGTACAGGAGGCCTGGCTGGGGGTAACTGCTGCACTCCTGTGGACGAGTTTCTCTCAACAAGGAGCCCATTGCCACCATTGCTCTAGGTTAGGGGCAGGCTGCGGAGCAACAGGGTCCAGGACAGGCATGTTTTGAGGGCAGTGAAAAGAGCCTGGAGTTCAGGACATTTTAAAAGTTGGGTATCTGGGAAAGAACAGAAAAGGGCCAGTGAAGGTAAAATGAGCATTTCGTGCTATCATGTAGCATTTCGTATTATCACGAATACAGAGTGTGCCAGAGAACTTGCCTCGGGATGCGCGTTCTTCCATCCTTCAGCAGCTACTTGGCTCCTTTCTCCTGTGCTCTCCTCTCTTCTCTATGCTTATAGCACCTGGCCCCTAGGGCTATCTCATGCATGAAACAGTGCTCTTTTTTTAATGTTTAGAACAATAGCAAAGTTTTAAAAGTCAGTCTCCTCTCCCATTCTCTCTTTTGATGGTAATCAGGGCCACATTTTGTAACCCAGCTGAAGCATTAGCTTTTGTCCCCCTAGGAGTTAGACTAGTATTTCTTTCTTTCTCCTTTCATCCTGATCAGTCTCACCATTTAGCATCTTTTGGGGCTGGAATTGTGCAGGGCTTTAGTCTTTAGGAGCAGGAGGCCCGTAGTTGATGGATTTGTTCCTGTGTTTACATCCCATAGCGGCACACATGATCGCATGTGATGGCCTGTCACCGCGTTGTTCCGTTCTCTGCAGGGCTCAGAGGGCCATCTGCACCGCTTCTGGCTGCCTTCCTTTGTCTGGGCTGCTCCTGCTGATGGAGAGCGGGGGCCCTGGGGTCCGGCCCTGCTCCTTGCTCAGGCGGTGTTCGTTCTCTTCGTGCCGTTTAGATCTTCGCTGGTTCTGCAGTACAGACTTAGCCCTACTTACCCAAATTCTAAAGAAAAATAAAACAGTCCAAAAAAGGGTCCTCTCTTCTGAGTCTTGTGTTTGCTGTCCCATAGGAAGCTGAAAACACTCTGCGCCTGATGCAGAACAAGCTGAAGGAGGAAGAGAAGCGCCTGCTCCGGAGTGGAAGTAAGGCCACGCTCACAGATGGGGCTGTTTCCTCTGGGCGGGCGGCAGTAGCCTTGAAAAATCTTTGTGTCTATTTTATTTATTTTCAAAAGGCAGTTTTCTCACAAGTTTTGTATCAGGTACCGTTTTAATTCATGCAAGAGCTTAAGAGGCTGGTTCAAATTACATAACATTTAAAGCACTTTGGTTTTCTTGTCAATGATAAGAAATGATTTCCTGTTTAAATGATACTGTTAGTTTGAATTGCATATAATATGTAACTATGAAAGAAAACTGGGTCTTGGAGGTCTGTAGAGTTCCTTACATTAGGGCAGACTGATAGAAAGCAAGTGTCGTAATGCTGTGCATGTGAATGGGTCCCCCTACCTACCTACCCGTCAGAGGTCCCCCAGTAATCCAAGATGGTTCAGTGAGGCTGTTGTCTGTAGGGAAATGGGGGTTACCTATATATAGGAGCTCCATGCTGGGGAGGACTGTTCTCCGTCCCTGGTTAGTGAGCTTCTCCTCGAACTTCACTGAGGTGTCAGGTCAGGCTTGGGAGCCGTAGCAGCGCATGGTCTTCATGATGTATTCTTCGTGCTGCGTGTCTCAGGGTGCCTCCTTCTCTTGCTTATTGCTCTCTTTTTTATGATGAAATATTTTATTCTCTTGTGCTTGAGGATACTTTACCTGGAACTTCAGGCTTGTGCGTGAGCTCTCTGTCTCCTTTTGTACTTGTTCTATGCCTCTCTCTCCTAAATCTCAGGAAACTCTGGAAGGAGAATAGGGACTGCTGGAAAATCCTTTAGGGGCAAGTTTAGGGAATTCCAAGGGCCTCTCTAGCCAAAGCAGCCCCTCACCTTTATGGTTCCAGGTCAGCCAGGAGAGCCTGAAGCAGCCCTAAGTGATAAGTCTGCATGGAGTTTATCCCCTCCTGAGAGGCCCGGCACAGGTAAGAGCCCTGATTGGTTGGCTGTACCCTGCTCCGTTCTGGGCCAGCATGTAAGACCTTTCTCACTGATCTTGATTTAGTCTTCTGAACTCACACTTTAATTTTGTTATCCATAGGTTTGGGATCTCTTGAAGGACAAACATTCATAGGAGCATCTCTGATTTCCTTTTTTTGGAAAAATAATTTCCAATTTAAACCAACTGAATAAAGGATAGCACTTAATTAGCTTGGGGTGGGCAAAGAAGTTAGGAAAATATGAAGGACCATTCTCAGTTCTGTTCACCCTGAAGTTCTTAAGGTGTTCTGTCTTTCTTTGCTATATATGTGGGAATATTGACCAGAGAATTGGGATTGGGGGGAGATATAAAAAGGAAGACTTTCTGAAAGACTTCTCTGAACAGAAAAACCTAATAGGACATGGACATGAATTAGGGGCAAGAATGAGCAAAATTCAGGAGGTGGAAGAGATCATCATTTTAGCTGCCACTCTGCAGGCAGCTGATTAAGTGCAACAAAGCATTGTTGAATATCTCTTCTGGGTGCAAAGGATTCGTTAGTGGACAAAAGACAGGGACCTTTGCTTTAACCAGTCTACTTGCCAGTGAGGAGACAAACATCAAGCAAGCTGTAAGCAGAAGGTGAAAAATGCCCTGGTTGGGGGAGGGGGGGGTGGCGGCGGAGGGGAAGTAGAGCAGAGAAGGGGATGGGGAGGATGGGATGGAATTGCATTTTAAATAGGGGGTCAGCGTAGGCCTCATTAGGAGATGTTATTTAAGCAAAGCCTAAGTAAGTGGATCTGAGGAGAAAGGAGGTACCAGATGAGGAGAGTCCTGGGAGTCTGTAAGAGAGGATGGGAACCAGAGCCCAGTGAGGCGATGAGTTTTGCTAAATGTGTGAATACAGGACTTGAACTCAGGCAGGACAGACAAGCTGGAAGAAGGATCATGTGCCAGAGGGCTCCCATCTGATGCTCCTGTCTTCTCTGTTGAGCAGGAGGTGAAGTCACCAAATTGGCTTTGTGGGTTTGGAGGAAGGGACTTGAAGAAGAGAGAGAAAGTCTGAGTGCTTAGAGACAGGAGAATGCCCTAGGGGCCCCAGAGATTAAAAAGGCCAAGTATTTTGTTCAGATGCTCTGTAATAGAAGGGCAGCCTTCATCTTCCCACCATCCTTTTAAACCTCACTGCTGGTGGTAAATTCATAAAATGACCCAGAAATTTCTAGAAAGCACTTTAGTAACCTTGCTGTGGTTTTTATGGTGTAGTGAAGAGCAGATGTTCCTGCATTTACACTTATTTTACTGCATGCCTACTGCATGTCAGGCGTCGTGCCAGTACTCGGGACACAGTGATGGATGAGGTACTCAGGAAGCTCAGAGTCTAGAACTGTGCCACCCAGTACCTAGCCACAAGCCATGTGTGACTCTTGAGCACTTCAGGTGTGGCTGGTCCAAATTGAGGTTTGGTGTTTGTGGAAAATATACACCAGGTTTTGAAGACTTAGTATGATAGAAAAGTAAAATTACTCATTAATTAATATTTTACATTGTTCACTTATTGAAATGATATTTTAGATATATTGGGTTAAGTAAAACATTGCTAAAATTAATTTACCTGTTCCTTTTTACTTTAATGTAGTTACTAGACAATTTTTTTTTTAAAGATTTTGTTTATTTATTTGAGAGAGAATGAGAGAGAGAGACAGAGAGCATGAGAGGGGGGAGGGTCAGAGGGAGAAGCAGGCTCCCTGCCGAGCAGGGAGTCCGATGCGGGACATGATCCCGGGACTCCAGGATCATGACCTGAGCCGAAGGCAGTTGCTTAACCAACTGAGCCACCCAGGCGCCCTACCCCTAAGAGCTTTTGATTAAAAAAAAATAAGTATGTTCCTTTCAAGGGGAGGGAGGAGAAAAGGCAAATTAACTTTAAGCAGCTGCAAGTTGAAGAACCGTCTCCAGCTAAAGGCTTTCCACAGCAAACCATGATGGGACCTGGAACTCAGAGTACTAGTTCAAACTTCTGTATGTTGATTAATCTTTCACTTTTTATTTCATTCGGTTGTTTCAGGCCAGCCTTTATGGATGAATATGAGAAGATCGAGGAGGAGTTGCAAAAGCAGTATGACATTTATCTAGAGAAATTTCGAAATCTGGCTTATCTGGAACAGCAGCTTGAGGACCATCATAGGATGGAGCAAGAGAGGTTTGAGGTAAGTACTTAGCCCACATCTCTGTACAGACCATTCCTTCTGCTGGGTTAGTTTGTACTTGTTGACGTGTCAGTTTGTAAATATCATTGTAGAAAAAAAAAAATCTGTGAATGTTTTTTCTCCCTGTTCAAGTCTGAGGATTGCTCATGGAATTCTTTTGTTTTGCTGTCAGTGTAGCCTGGCCTCCAGGGTTGTCAGCTCTCTGGTGGGTTTGGTCGGTTAGGACTGCGGACAGGACCGACACGTGACCTGTGTCATTGCACAAGACTCAGAAGGGCCGGTGCTTGCTTCAATGCTGTGCTGTCACTGGCTTGAAATTCTTCATAATTTTTAAGTGCATTTTAATTTGCACTGAGTCCCAAGAGTAGGTAACTGGTCTTGGGTAAAGATCTAAAAATTTGCTTGGTCAGTTTAGTGAAAGATTTTCAGGGACCCTTGTTAATTGAATCATCCAAACCAGTTTTTTGTTTTTGTTTTTAAGATTTTTGTTTATTTATTTGGCAGAGAGAAAGACAG